TTTCTTTCTTTCTTTCTTTCTTTCTTTCTTTCTTTCTTTCTTTCTTTTTTTTTCTTAGTTAAATGCTGGATTTCTTTGGAGGTCTGTATTGAAGACCAGCTCACTCATTTATGTAATGTTTGGGATAAATTCCTGAGTACAAAGAATGGAAGAGTGACACCCATCCTGCAACTCCAACTTCATCAGATCTCAGTCCAGGAGGGCAAAGGGATCAGAGACAATGGAAGGGGGTTCAGACAGCCATCTAGTATGACTAGTATGATGAAATAACTTTCTGGGACCAACTTCACAAGGCTGCTCAACTTTATTCCAGGTGAACAGGGCTATATATAGTTCTTTGGGAAAGGGAAAGAGTTCTCAGGGTAAGTGTATACTATTGTCTGGGGCTTGAGATGCCAGGGATGCTTTACGTTCCAGGAATTTCAGATACTTGTCTGCAGGGTCTTATCAGGAGAAAGGACATTGAACCTGCATTACGGCCATGGCCATGCCTTCAGGGGTGCTGCTGGTTGTGCCACTCTCCAGATGAATTCAGGTAGAGAGAAAGAAGAACCCTGTTGAAAAAGGGAGTTCTGTACCAGGTTTGGAAGAGCCATTAGGGCATTGTGGATTGTGACCTCATACATAAGGGTCTTCCAACAGGAAAATCAAAAGAGCCAGTTTATTGTACATAAACGTTAGCTGGATTGTGACAACTGGATATGTCACACAGGCTTTACTGTTTACGTGCATTTTTTAAACTCTTTTTTTATTTGGCAAATTTAGGTGTTTAACTCCCTTCCACCCAACCCTTTAACCCTAGGTAGCAGAGAGAAGGTTGAGGAGAGGGGGCACAGACCCCTTTACTTCTTCCAGCTGCTTAGGGTTGAAGTTGGGAGTTATACCCATTCTCTGTCAACAGTAAAAGCAGCAAACAGTCTCCTCCAAGCCACTGTGTTGATACATTTCCCTCCATCTGTCTCCAAGCTACCACACTATCCATCTCTGGTCACTCCAAACTGTGACTCACCACAGGCTAACACTGCATGTCACACCTTCTCTCTTTGGGCTCTCATGTTTATTTCCTCAGAGCTCTGGACCATTCTCCTCTCCATGAAGCACAAGGCAGGCTGTTACCAGCTGGCAATGACCACACCCTGCATAAAACATTTATCAACTGTGGACAAACTGAAGCCCAACTAAAATACCAGAATTGGGATTAAAACATATTTACATAGCATAATTGAGTTTTTAAAGAAAGCAAAACTTCCATTACATTTTACCACAGTGTAGGCCAACACTGAGATGTCTTCCTGACAATTCTGCAAGGCAGAATAACTGCATCAGTTAAGTCATCAAACTCAGATAAGAGACACACAATTTGGTCCCTGATTACTATAGATTCTATAGATCCTATACTTTCATTTACACATATTTCAGTATTCTCAAATTAGTTATTATAATTCAGTGATTCTATAGATCTTATATTTTCATTTCAGACACATATTTCAGTATTTTTAACTTAGTGATTATAGTGCCATTCTCACTGATCTGTACTTTATGAAGAAAGGCAGGAGGTCTTTTTTTCACTAGCATACCTATTCAAACCACCACAGTTGCTATGTTTTTTCTTTTGATCCTCTTACAGCTCCTCCAGCTCCAATAGTAAAAAAGATTTTAAAAAAAGTTGGGAAGTAAAGACAATAGAGAGGAAACCACTATGCCCAACATTTTGACAATAGGGGACAACAAAGAAGACTGAATCCTAGTGGCTCAAAAAGTGAACCCAACAGCCTACTTAAAACATCCAGAAAGGTGTTACAAGGGTGTCTATACTAATCACAGCAGACTGACCTGAAGGCAAACAACAGTGTATTTGCACAAATTATAGTACAGCAACTCAAGGGAATAAAGGATTGGGCTTGTAGCAATCACAGATCTCTTCTCTTGTGGGTTAAGAGAGTGTTATGGCATTTTTGACCCCTGGGAAATGCCTCAATTCAAGACTCAATTCAAATATAATTAAAAGATTTATTGATTATCTGCTAGCAGGGCAACAGCCTTAAAGCTGAATCTCAGGTATTCAGTGAAGGAGGGGTATGAGGAATGGTTATTTAAAGGCAAAAGCACAAGAAGACCTTCAATATTTATGCAAGTTTACGTGGTTATGGCAACTCAAAACAATCTTTAGTTATCTGCATAAGCAAGCTGCAGAAGCCAAAAAAAAAAAAAAAAAAAGCAGTTAGTCATATATCATAACAAGTAGATAGTCATGGCTGCACATTTTTAGGTGGGGGTCACTGAGTCAGGGTTACTGGGACTGGAGTCAAAGACAAAGGGCTCCAAGATGGATGCTTAGTATGAAATGAAGTTTCGTTAGGCATCACAAGAAAAATGCTCTAGCTCTTGGTTGAAAATGGTTATAGAACTAAGTAGAATTCATTGGTCGATGCTTTCTTGCTTCATACTGCTTGCCTCGAACTTGCTTTGTACGTGAAGGCTCAGTAGAGCATGTTTTCAGTTGTGATTTTAGCTGTCTTCAGAGTGATCCTGATGGTTGCCAGTACAAGAACTACAGTTCTAGACCCTTAAGCATCTGGCTCTTAACAGATGTTTAGAAAGTCTTGAAGATCTGTTTATTAAGACTGAAAGAAAGCTCCACAAAGAACAGAAATTCTAACAGCATGTACGAGTACTGGTTAGCATTTTAGAATTTTCTAATCATATTTATATTAAACCCCTGTCCCACTGTTCCAGGAAAAGTCAGGTGTCTGATTTGTCTCAGTGTTCCTTGATGGAAAACTTTGACAAAGTCAGAACCCTTAAAGCTAGACAAAGCTCTTTTTTTTTTTTTTTTTTTTTTTTTTTTTTTTTTTTTTTTTTTTTTTTGTCTGTTTGGTTTTTTGTTTTTTGAAAAAGCTCTTTTTAAAGTTTGTAATCTTGCTGAGGGAACTGAGACCAAAGTGTTTACTGATTCGACACACTTTTGAAGTCTGGCCTCACGGAAATTTAATCGAGTTTCCTATCACTCATATTTCCCCCACATGGAAAGAACTGACGCAGAGTTTGCTCGTTGCCGAGGTTGGACCGCCACGTTTCCCAGAGCCGCGCGGCGCCGTAGGTCGGACCTCTGACGTCACTGAGCGCGGCCCGCCCCTACATATTAGCAACCGGAGGCGTCCGTAGCAGCAGTGGCTGCGGAGATGTACGAACTTCCGGTTGTCCCAGCAATCCGCTACCACCGGCGAAGCGGCCCGGCGCAGTCTGCTCAGGCTGCTCTGCGCGGGCGAGTCGGCCCTTCGCCGGTTCCCGGCGCCCATGGTCGGCGCTGCGGACCGGGAGGCCGGCCCGACGGCTGCGGCGTGCTGAGAGGGCGGCGTGGGGACGATGCCGACCCCGCGTGGCTCCTCCGGGCCTTGCCGGCTCCTGGCTCTGGCCCTCGTCCTGCTCTTGCTCCCCGCGATGAGCGGGTCCGGGGCGGTGCTTTCGCCTGCGGCCAGGGCGGCGCCGGGATCCGGGCCTCCCGAGCCCGGGCCGCGCACGCTGTCCCCACTGCCTCCGGGCCCCACGGCTGCCCAGCCGCCTGGCCAAGCTCAGGCTGAAGCCGCCGGCCCTCGGGGAACGGAGAGCCGCAATGGTACCGGCCCCGGGGCGGGGTCTGAGGCGGATGGCCTTGGAGGAAAGGCCGAGAAAGGCTCCCTTGGTGGCAGCCTGGCTGTGAGCCCCAATCCTGGCGACAAGCCCATGACCCAGCGGGCCCTGACTGTGTTGGTGGTGGTGAGCGGCGCGGTGCTGGTGTACTTCGTGGTCAGGACCGTCAGGTGAGGCATAGCCTCCATGGGGCTCCCTGCGGCCTAGAGCAGGCTGACAGGTGACCTGCTCCTTGAAGAGGGAGGATGTCTGTGACCTGGGCTTGACTCCCTTCCTACTCCCGGTCAGGGACTGGAATGTAAAACCATCTGGTTGGCTGTCATAATGGCCTGTGTTACCCTAGCTGGCGACACAAGCTGTTGCCTTTCGTTTATAAGTCACCAACCCATCTCCAACATATCTCTCTGAGGCCCCCTCTGCCTTAAAGTACCCCGAAGTGGAAGTGCTCCCCCATCCCCTAGAATTTTGATTACACTGCTGTGCAATGCTACTGCTCTTCAGTTGGTGTAACTAACTTGTCAGTGTTTTTGCCTGTTAGAATGCACAGTTTGTGAGTTGGGGTTCCATCAACATAGCAAAAAGTCCTGGTGGATGATTTACTTTTCCTAAACTTAGAAGTTCCTCCTTACCAGTTGTATTTCTTTGATGGTGCCCTTAATCGACCCTTAGTAAGTTATACTCAATTAGAGTTGGGTACTACATCTCTGGAGAGGTGTCAAATAGAGCAAGACCCCACCAGAAGGGACCAGCCAAGAAAACAGCTATGGAAAAGTTAATTGTTTCCATTTGCATAAAATAAGAGCAGATGGTATTTTGTGGTTTATTGTTTTTAAAATTACTTCACACTTTCCCTATGATTGCACACTACCATTATTTAATGCACATTTTTAAATCATGGAAACAAAATTTTGTTTTTAAAAAAATTTTTGTGAATGGAAAACGAACATGACTTGTCTTAAGTGGTTGATTAAAAAAATACAATATTTATGTCTATGTAGTCCAAAGAATCTTACAGAATTTGTTTTTATGACATATTAATTAGCTACAGTTTTACGATTTTCCAAATAATACATTATCTTACAAGTGTATAAAATATAGAATATATACTGGTAAGATTTGAAGTTCTACACTGAAGCTGATATTAAGAAAATACCTCTTGTCAAGTTTTGGTGTCATATATATATGAATCAGAAAAAATTATTAAATTGCTCCCTTCTTTTCCTAGTTGATATGATTTTGATCCATTAACCATTACAAATAATTGATGCAGAAGCAAATGTGAAAATCTAGTGTTTTTCTGTTTGGTTGGTTTTCCTTTGTTTTCTGTTTTTATTTTGTATATACAGTTTAGGCCAAATGTTAAAACAAACAAACAAATAAACAAACAAAAAAAAACGGTCATTCTTTTTACTATTTTTAATGAACAGTTAACATTTTAAAAACATTTTAGATCAATTATTTAATTTTTTTTCATATTCTATTGGTTAGAATCCACATATATAGGCTCCTGAAACCCTTAATAACTTTTAAGATTGTAAAGGAATTCAAATCACTTGAAAAGCCCTCACATAAGCAATATCATTGAGCTAGAAACGGTTGATTTACAAAGGTTGGAAAATCTACACCCACTTTGTGATTGGGAAATTAGCCGGTGTTCAGAAGGTATTAAAAACTTGTGACCACCAAAGTGAACTTTTTGATGTTAAGAAATCTTAAAAGACAAGTAATTTTTATATACAATTTTTTTTAACACTGTGTGTAATTTCTGTAAGGACCAAATTATCCTTGGTACATACGTACCATACATAGGTATGATGATAATTTTCTTGATATGCTTCTTGTTTTTGTTTGTTTTTCTTTCTGTCCCACCTTATTTGTAATCTTCTATAGAAATGTTTACTGCCCTTGCTTTTCTACATTTATTTCTGTATAACTTAAAAGAACTCAGCCTTTTCTGATTCTGTTGGCTGATTCAGTTATCATGTTGTATGATACAGCCAAATCCAGAACTGTGACTGATAAAAACTGCATACATCAGGCAGCGTCTAACACATTGGTGTAGTCCAAGTTCTAAATTTAGTTGGTTGCCGTACATCTGAAACTTGATTGATGCTGACTAAATTGAGGAGATCCAGAACTCACGCTTTACTTCCAGATTGTGCTTTTCATCCTCATTATAGTGGTTGCTCATTTTGGCTCCCTTTCCAAAATACGTGTGACAGAGAACCAGAGTTGCTTATTTGTGCCAAGGGAGAATACTCCCGAATCATTTCCTTAACTGATGACATGAGGTGAAACTGAGTAATTTAATTATAAAATTTTATGTCAAACACTATGAGACCTGGGAAATGTGTTGTCTCAATCTAACTCAGCATCATATGTGTTTGGATAGACATAACTTATACTGGTACTGTAGAATGATTCCAAGCAATGGCATTCTTTCTGTAAAGGAACTTGAATCTATCACAGGAGTACTCTCGGGGTAAAGTAGACTTCATAAAATGAATACAGCCTCTCTGTGAAAATGCTTCTTGTCTGTTTTATTTACCATATGCCCATTGTTGAACCTTGTAGCACTGTTCACAGTGTATAGAGAGCACACTGTTGCTTAATGAATATTAGTTCATTCTTTAAGTTGCTGAGTAGTTAAGTTGTAAGGATTAGAAACTTAAAGGGTAATTGCTACTTGCTGAGAGAAGAAATATGAAGATCTCAATTATACTTTCTTTACTGTAGGACATTCTTCATATACTAAACTGTGTAAGGCTAGAAAACAATTATAGAGGGTTACTACAATTTTAAGTGTGTATATTTATTATATACAAAAGTTTCTATTATAAGTTTATGATTAATTTTTCTTGCCATAAAGACTTTTTTTTTTTTTTTTTAATGCTATGCCACTTTTAGTCAGTTTGGTGCATCTACTTTTCTTTCTTTCAGAAGTTACTGGACTTCCCCAGACTCAGAAGTCAATGAATTAGATATAAAGAGCTTTTGCAATGGTAGCAATGAGCACCAAATTTAGCATTGATTGTCTTCATTCAGCCAGTCAATATTTACTCAGCTGCTCTACACTGGGCAATCACATTATCATTCTGAAATAAGTCAACATTACTGCCTCTATGGCATTTAGAGCCTGGATGAGCACAAGAACATTTATCAAACACTAACATAAAAATTGCAGCAAAGGAGCAGTAAAGTGTGGGCTTCCTACTCATTATGTTCGTCCTTTCTAGTGGTCCTTTTCCACCTTCCCATCTTGGCTTCTTTGGATGACAGGGACCATGTGTACATACAATTATTGTACAGCAAATAAAAAATAGAATTATAACAATTATGTCTGGTCCTGTTAATACTTAGCATACAGAAACTACATTGCATTAATTACTGTCAATTGTAACTGGAACCTGTAATCTAAAGTATAAAATGAAGCTTTCTTCAAAGACTCTTATTTTGTAACTAAAGTACCACATTTGATATTTTACCCGCCATGTCCATAAGCTCATCTATATGAATAGCTAATTGATGTGAGTTGCACAGAGTGTCACATAATGTGAACACATTTTCTAATTTAATTCTTGCAAAAATCTTCAAAGTAGATGATACTCTTCTAAAGGAAGTTGAGGCTGAACGAAGTTGAGTGGGTTGTCTGGAGCACATACATAGGACCTCTAAGTTGTGGTTGAATCCAGTGACTGTGGTCTTTTAACAGAAATTCCTTATTTAAAGTGATGTGTACATTACAGTAGCCAGTTAATTTGTGGAAAAAAATGATGTGGGTAATGTTTATGGGTAAAATGTGATTTTTAGTGGACATTACTCTACAAATTGAAAAATAAGACAACCTAGTGTTTATTGATATTCATTTCTGTGCTAAGCTGAAAGTAATTTAGTTTGCTATGTCAACTACATCCCATCCTTCAAAGATTTTCTTTATTTGCTAGAGAGCATCAGAATGGTTGTATTTCAAAGCAACTGCTACTGCTAGACATTGTCTTGTTTGTCTGCATGTTTTCCTTCCTTTCTTTTTTCTTTATTTCTTTTTTATTGTTATTTTTATTTATTAATTTATTTTTTTGAAATAGAGTCTATGTAATCCATCTGGCCCAGTACTTGCTGTGTAGAACAAGATAGCCTTAAACTTGGAGGTAAACCTGTCTCTGTCTCCTGAGTGCTGGAATTAAAACTGTGTGCTTCAGATGTTCCGGAAGGCCATAGGAGGAGAAGAGGGAAGGAGAGTAGGATTGGGAGGAGATGAAGGAGGGGGCCACAGCTGGGATACAAAGTGAATAAATTGTAATAAATAATAATTAAAAATTAAAAAATGTTGAGGTATAACAAAAAAGATGATAGTAAATAAGTTAGAAACTTGTAATGGTAGAACAAAATCAAAATTTTAAGATGTAGTCATCAGTCAGAAAAAATACTGTAAAAAAAATGTCCAGCTCCCTATCTGCTTTCTTAAGAATATGAATTTCTTAATGAATTTCCCTACCAGTTATAAAGCTATGTCATTGATAGAAATTCAATTTAGACACTAATAAAGATAGAAAGCCTGCATATTTTTAAATATTAATTAGTCACTGCCATCAATTTAGTAACTATTTCTAAGTACCTGTCAGTAGTAGACCTTGTGATAAGAACTAGCAATGCATAAGATGAGAATTTTTTAGATATCTTTTGATAGTGTCATTTGTGCTCTGGTTTGTCATCACTTACTCAAAGAAGAAATACATGTTGAATATATTGTATAAAGAGTTGTGAAACTGCTTTGAAATACATATAACAAATGTTACTTCTCAAGGAATTGTATTTTTTTTTTTGAGACATGAAACTTTACTAAATGTTTATGCATATTGTGAAGTAATAGTGTTAAATATGCCATATGGCCTATTTTAGATGTCAAGATATGACAGTGGTGGTGGTGTTAGTGGTGAGACAGTGTAGGCTGTCAGTCATCACTATGCAATGAAACTATTGGGGAAGAGTAAGAAAAACCAGAGAGGAGTGGCCATTTTACACTTTTCCTATATCAAGGAGGACAATGCTTCCATCCAGATATTTAGTAAAGTAAGTAGGCCTGAGCAGAGAATGTAAATACTCTGTAGGGACAATAGTAATTATTTCGTTGAGCTTTATAACAGAAATACCTTCTGTCACTCTTCTCTCT